AAGTGCCGGCTGAACTCTGTTGGGGTCGCCGGCTTGGGACTAAATTGGACAGGCTGCATCCGGAGCGAGTAGCTTCACAGGTGTCTCAGCCGCACCCACCATGGGTCCTGCATGAAGGCAATCCTGTCTGGGCCAGGAATTACGGGCCTGGACACCTCTGGGTCCCGGCTGTGGTCTGCAAGGTCTCGGGGCCTCTGTCCTACGAGGTGTCATGGGAAGACGGCCGCGTTCTTCGCCGCCACATTGATCAACTATGTGTGAGGCAGGACTCGCCTAGGTTTCCTCCTCAGTCTTGTCTGGGGGGGGGAGGAATGGGAAATGCATTCTGGGAATCAGAATCAGCAGCCGACAATGGCTGTTGAGGGCAACACGGGTACGCAACACCCACATTCCGCAAGTGCTCCAAATAGGAATTCATGGGGCAGGGGGCAAACAGACACCCCCACACTCACTCCAGCCTGGGAGTCACACCGGAGGTATACTAACTACCCACAATTCACCAACAATACTCCAGACAAGGAGACTGACTGGGAGCATACTCACAACTCACAACATACAAGAGAGCAGGCACAACAGGGTGGGGACATGCCCTTTTCAGCAATGGCTCACAGAAGGATGTCCCCACGCATTAGGGCTAACAGGGAGGTATCCTTGGACCCTATCACTACAGAAAGGAGCCAGGGAAATTACACACCTTCAGGGAACATTGAGATGAGTTCAGAGGGCTCAGAAAACTCCCTAAGAGGTAGGTCAACCAGGTATAGTGAACAGCAGAGTCCTGACTTCACGAGTCTAGGAGGCGGGCAGGGAAGTCAGGCAAAAGTCACTAGACAACCACAGGGTAATTCACCTAGTGTGGAAAGCAACGGGGGAAACACTTCAAGCTCCCCAGGTCCGAGAAGGTTGCTACGGGTCAAAGGCCCTCCCAAATACCTTGCAGATTACGTAAGGTGAGCAAAAGTATAGGAACCTGATAAGAGGTCCAGACTGGTTAGCTCTTAGGAAGCTGGGTTGGGCGCATCGGTTCTCAGAAAGACAGAACGGTCCCATACCTCTCACACTCTGTGCATTTAATGCAATAGTTAGTAAACAAAGGATCTATCAAAGGTGGCGTCCATGTGGGGCGCAGAATTATTTTATCTAGGGGGGAGGGGTGTTGTGTCCTGAGCCTCAGGACGATGCAAGAGTCCCGGGCATTTGCAAAAGCTGCCCAGGACCAGACTGAGCGGCGCCGGCCTTGCGCGCATGCGCAAGGCGGGAAAAGACTGCCTGCTATTGGTTGGAATTGCCCGGGGATCAGAGGGTATAAATAGAGGCCTGCGTGCCTCTGCTCTTGCTGTTAGTTGACTGTAGACAGAGAATAAAGACCTGTTAGCAAAATGCAATGCTTCATTCGCCATTATTCTTCGGACTTAACAGTGGGTGTTGTGGGAGCCTGAAAAAAAAACTTTTTCAGATATTACCCCCTACTTTGGACTATCCTAATCGCAGTTCCCATCTTTTTTTAAAAAAAATGTTGCATTGTAATTTTTTTATTTGAATGTTGTGAGCTGCCCAGAATTGTTGAGAGTTGGGTAGCATTCAAATTTAATATATCATCACCGTCATTATTATCTCACCTCCCAAAGTATGGAACATATCCAGTCTCCTTGCCTTTGGGAATCTATGTGTAACAGCTTCAAATCTATAGAAGTGGATGATCTAAAATTTATGGGTTAGACAAAGTAATTACTAATAGTAATTACTAAGACATGAAGACTTTTATATCTGAATGCCCTGTAATTATGACATGGTTTTAATCTTTCCACAGAGAAAAAAAGCTGGCATATCTTGAAAACTAGTTCTAGCACATCATTTTCTGAGTATGTTAAGATTTCTTTGTCCAAGGTCTGCATTATCATCACAGGTAAATGGCCTCCCAAACTATAGAATAAAACTGTAGGTGCCACAGGGTTATTTCTCTTAGATATAGTGCAAGACACTATCAGTTGTAGCAATGTTGGGTGGTGGTGGTGGGGGGAGAAGTCAGTTTTTTGCTTGCTATTTTATTTCTTCATCTACTTGTTTCTATGTTGTTGAAAATTAGCACAGTTTTACTGGAATTTTTCTCCCCAGGTGTCCCTTACATAATACTATCATACTACCACTTTACAATGCCTTGGTAAGGCCACACTTGGAATACTGCATCCAGTTTTGGTCACCACGATGTAAAAAAGATGCTGAGACTCTAGAAAGAGTACAGAGAAGAGCAACAAAGATTATTAGGGGACTGGAGGCTAAAACATATAAGGAACGGTTGCTGGAATTGGGTATGTCTACTTTAACGAAGAGAAGGACGAGGGGGGACATGATAGCAGTGTTCCAATATCTCAGGGGCTGCCACAAAGAAGAGGGAGTGAAGCTATTCTCCAAGGCACCTGAAGGCAGGACGAGAAGCAACGGATGGAAACTGATCAAGGAGAGAAGCAACTTAGAACTAAGGAGAAACTTCCTGACAGTTAGAACAATTAACCAGTGGAACAACCTGCCTCCAGAAGCGGTGAATGCTCCAACACTGGAAGTTTTTAAGAAGAGACTGGACAGCCATTTGTCCGAAATGGTGTAGGGTTCCTGCCTGAGGAGGGGGTTGGACTTGATGACCTCCAAGGTCCCTTCCAACTTTATTATTATTATTATTATTATTATTATTATTATTATTATTATTATTATTATTATTATTATTATTATTATTATTATTATTATTATTATTATTATTATTTGCTGTTTCTGAGTATGAGAACTGCATCGTATCCCTGCTGCATGCATAATCTAGATTAGCTCCTCATACAGAGCAGAATTTATGGCCATCCATCAGTCTTTTCTTGCCTTTGGATTCCTCTTGAAGTTTTCTCCTACTTACCAGGTCGGTAAAATTAGATCTCCAAAGTGCAGGAATATCTTTGAACTGTTTGAACATGCCTTTCAAGTTGACAATCACAATGGCAGCNAGAGACAAGTACTTACATCTCAGGATGCAAATGACAGCTGCCAGTTTTTTGATGTGTGATGGGCTACGGTCAAAAAGTCAAGATGGCCGACACCGTGGTGTGGTTGAAGCTCTGCCTGTCTTTGATATGCCTTGCACCATGCGATGCACATCAAAACCAGGCAGAGCTTTGCTATGTTTCCCATCTTGACTTTTTTTTTTATCATATCCTGCAGATATTCCTGGAAGACACCAAGACCCATTTTACTCATTTTCACTCCACCAGGCTTGTTAAAAGAAGCTTCGGATGGTGGGGTGGACACACTGAGAAGGTCCCATTTAAGGTATGAGTTGATATTTGAAATAATCTGATGGACTGATATCTGATAAGAAAAGTTTCACTAAAATAAAAAGAGTTGTTTTGCACTTTCCTTTTATTGGGCCCCTGACTTCAATGGGTAAAAGGATGGAAAAAATATGGTCATACAGTACCGAAAGACAGTGAGTGGGTAAGGGCTTGTATCAACCCCTTATTTTACTACTTGTATATTTACTCAGTGCTCACTGGTTCTTTTACTCATCCAGGAGTGACAGTCATTTTGGAGAGAGAAAGCTATACATGTCAGGTGAGCTCATGATTACATTAGGCCATTATAAGGATCTGCTGTGGGGACAGCCTAGAAACAGAATTTATTTCAAAACAGAAGATATTAACTGGCACCAGCCATTGACGTAAAAAGACTGTTGATCCCTGATAAAGAGCTTTATTAGTTTTTGGACAATTTCTGAGTACAATTCAGGGAGCTGCTATTTACTTGGACGTGCTGTGGGTAGGTGGGGAGCGGATTGGAAATGGCTTTTCTTTAGTAAAAGGCGAAAGATTTATACGATCTGAAGAGAAACCAGAATATGTCCACTTATCATCGTTCACAAAGATCTTCCTCAGAGGCTGTCCTCTGGGTTTCTGGGAATGTGGCAGAAGGTTTCGGGGATGGGAAGAAGGTTCCTGGGAAGGAGATCTCTGCAAGAGATATCATCCCTTGCGCCTTAGGAAAACCACCAATTTGTTTCCCCCTGCTTTTGACATCTCACACAGTCTATTCATTCACCAGTATTATTATTTATTATTATTTTTTATCATCAGTTATGCACCCGCTTGGAAACTCTAAATGAGAAGATGGCACACCAACTGTAAACAGGGAAAGTAAACTCAAAATTTAATCAGAACAGCAACATTGAGATGGCTGGGCAAAATGAAGTTCAGGGGTAGTCAACCTTGGCTCTTTTATGACTCGTGGACTTCAACTCCCAGAATTCCTGAGCCAGCTGTGCTGGCTCAGGAATTCTGGGAGTTGAAGTCCACGAGTCATAAAAGAGCTAAGGTTGACTACCCCTGATGAAGTTCTTATAAATTTTTCCTAGTCTGAATCATCAATTAAAAACATATTTTAGCCCAATGGAGTATATATATATCTATACTTTGTAATTGGGTAATTTTTAGTGGGAAATTTAGACTTGGTTTCGCTTTTGACCATGCTGATACTTTGTAACCAATAAACATGTTCTTTGTGGAATTCACAGGCCTTGGAGTTCTGCTTTATTTGTCTCTGTCTATCGGAACCATCACACACACCACACACACACACACACACGTATCTATCTATCTATATATGTATATGTGTGTGCGTGTGTGTGTGTGTGTGTATGGGTGTATGCCCAAGTGTGGATTTCGATAAGAAATGCAGGTTGGCCCCCTGCCCTGCCTTCAACGTTGCTGCTTTAATTCCGAGCTTTTGATTATTTTGTAACAGCTTTATATGCAGAATAAAAATGCAGTTCTTTTTCCCTGAGCAAAGATGAAGGCCAAGGGTGAATTAAATGTACCACAAGAGCACCCCCACGCAGGAGTTGAAAGAATATCTGTCTCTTGATTCCTTCTAAGTGGAATATAGCCCAAAGCTATTTTAGAGGTCATACATTGCCATGAATGAGCAACCAAGCAAATACTAAGAACAAACTCTGAAGTTTTTCTCACCTTTTTTTTAAGGGCCTCTGCATACAATTCAGCATTAGCAAAATAGATAGTAGCAGAAGAGTGGAAAATTTTCACACCTGGTATTTCCTTAGCCTGGGGGGAGGGGGAGGAAGGAAGGAACACAAATGTTAGGAAAAGAGAGTTAGCATGGGGCCAATATACAAAGACCAGAATAAATAGAGTTTGATCAGGAACTCCATCTATTTATTTTTAAAGATTTTTTATTTTTATTTATTTATATTTATTTATATTTGGATTTATATCCCGCCCTTCTCCTCGCGGACTCAGGGCGGCTGACAATCAGTTAAAATACATAAATAACAATACAAATTTAAAATTAATTAAAAGAAATATTTAAACATTTGTCCAATTAAAATGTAATTAAAACCCCTCTAAAAATTACCCTAGGCCAGTCCTGCAAGCTGGAATAACCAAGT